GGACCTCGTCTCTCGCTGCTGGTGCTGCCGTGTCCACACAGAGATTTCAAAATGTGGCCCTTTATCCGAGCCGCCCAGGAGGGGGGGGGGTGAATCAAAGGGTCGCCGGGCCTTTGAACCCTGGGAAAGCGTCTGACCAAAGCGTCGAAGAGGAGGAGGAGGAGGAGGAGGAGGAGGAGGAGGAGGGCAGCGAGCAGGCAAACACACGGCACGAAGTAACGGACTTCTGTCGCTAAAGAAGTGTTGAAAAACTGTAAGTAGGGCACTGGAGCTCAATATTGTATGCCAATATGATCCGATGGGCTCTGTGGAACAGCCACAATGAAAGCACAGATGAAATATCAACGCCTAGCGCAGGGCCTTCCTCCCCGCCTGAAAAGTGAAACCTCACCTTCAGAAACATAATCGTCACCGTGCTCTGCAGAGACGAATGAAAGCTTCCACACAACATCCGCCACATTTTCAGCCTCGTTTCAGCCGAGAGTCGGTGCTCACGCGGTTCGCAGACGCCCCGCGAGAATAACCGCCGTCCCTTTGCATTAGTAAATCCTCGTTCATTTACTCCCTTCCCACCGGAGGCCGCGGTCGGGGATGCGAATTCGACCGCCTTCAGGAGAGTCTCTGCCATCGCTCTCCGTCTCCCACGCAACCTCCGGCATTAAAAACCCAACACCGGCGAGCACCGTCAGAGGGAACAGTGCCGACTAGACAAGAGACTGTTTATAGCACCAGCGATATTATAAACACAGCATGGGGCGTATCGTCTTCAGAGGAAAGACTCGCTGCAGGCTGCGAGCGACGTGAAACGAGTTCACACCGCGTGAAGATCCTATTCAGGGTTGCATCGCTCTCGCAGGAAAACACATCTTTTAAACCTATTGACTCAACTTTTTGTTGCCGCGTGAGGGTGCGGGGACCCTCCAGGAGGTGGAACCGTGCGGCCCGGTGTCTCCGGGTATCAGGAGGGACAAAAAGGCGAACACGACGGAAAAGAAACAAAAAAAAGCCCCGTAAAACCCCCCCTGACCCAGCATGAAGAGGGAGAGGGGACTAATTAGTGACTGTACTTACAACTGGAAAGGAGAGGCAGGGAGAACGAGGAGGAGAGGGAGGGAGGGAGGGGAGCACACACAGAGGGAGAGACAGAGCGCAGTTTGGAGGATGAGGACAATGAGTTTGTTTAGCTTAAACAGGATTTACAAGCCAAACAGACACACGCCAACGCCACTCATTCAGACACATACTATCCCTTTACTTTATCGCTACCGTTTTCTCCCTCCTTCCCTCCCCCTCTGCCTGCCTCATGAAATCCCTCTGCCTCCGCAGAGGGATTTCATCAGCGGTACAAAGAATAAATAAATAAATATTTTTTTAAAAGTGAGGGTAATTGCTTGCGATGGTGAGAAGTCTTGAGTGCAGGCGGCAGCGGCGGGGCGAACGGATTGATGGATGGAGGGAACATTTTGTTCCTCCTGTGCGGGCTGCGACTCTCATATTGTTCCCGGTGAGGCCTGGGTGTCATTTATGATTCAAGGAGCCCCCCGTCTCTCTCTCTCTCTCGCTCTCTCTCGCTCTCCCTCCCTCCCTCCCTCTACGGACGGGAACGAGACGTGGCCTCCGTGACGTCCCCCTCGCAATCCTTTCTCAAAGAAACATCAAATCAAACATGCATGAGGCAGCGACAGGCAAGGGGGGAAACCAGCGACTTCGCTCTTCACTTTCTCCCTCTCTTGTCCCACAAAAAAATTAAAAAAGGAGAAGAAGGAAAAATAAAAAGCACTTAAGAGGACTGCGTATCCCTGTTGTCGGCTGCGCTCAAGGTTGAAGTGACGGCTTTCTCCGGAAGCACGGGTCGATGTTTTGTCTGCGTTGTGGCACTTACGTGACAGATACGTGCCGGTGACAGAAAACCGAAAAACGCATACAAACTCGTCGTAGAAGACTTTTGAGAAGTGGAATATACATTTATCTCATTCAAATCAATGAGAAGGTGCGTCCCTTTGACTGGTACTGTATTTTTAGAACACCTGAACGCAGCACAGCTACACTTTATCAACCAAAACAATGCGGCTCGCTGCCACTCCTGAGGTTGACCGCCACGCTCCGGGACAGATTTACGGCGCGTCGCCTTGACTCGCCAGCCACAAGCCAAACCACAGTGCGAGGGACGGCGCTGACAGGCGTGCGGCATTGAGGGCCTCTCGTCCCGGCGCTTGATGTCATCGCAGCCAGTCAGGTCGGATGAGGCACGCGTGCCGGCTGCGTCATTTCATCGTTATTAGTTACGACGCAATTACCAGATTTTGAGCTTAAACTTTTAGATGAAGTTCAGAACAAAGGAGGTTTGGGAAGCAGCGAGTGTCTCACTGCGAGGGAAAGGTGAGGATGTCGAGCTGGAATCCTTCGAAGCAATTATTCGGAAAAATCTGTTTTCTAAAAAGTTTTTCCCGTATTAGAAAGACCAAAATAGACACCTTGAAAACCAAACAAAAAAACTGAGGCCGAGACACCAGCCTACGAGCAATCTACGTCACGCCAAACCGCCCGCAAGTATTTCATAGCACTCCTCCGAGCAGCAACAACCTCGGGTCGGACGAAATGTCAGGCTGTCAAAACATTGATTAGCGTTCTCTGGGTTCGCGGCACTCAGCCGGCTGCAGCTGCGCCCGACACACGGGGAACGCCGGGCGAAGATTCGCTGAGTAACAAAAAGCTCATTACTCAGACGCGAGTAATTACTGTTTATTTTTATTTTTCTATAGATACTTCTAATCAGCATTAGTCGTTTGCTTCACCCGGGACCCCCCTCTCCTCCCTTCTCTTTATTAAACACATCGGCGTGCATGCTTTGCTTTTGCACCCACCTGCACTTCCTTAAAACAGCCCAAATTTGATCTTAGCACGAGTCTACTGGAGTCTTTAGCCTGGAATTGGACACTCTTCCCTCTTGTCTCACAGCCTGGCTGGCTGGTTGCAGAGAGGCCCCAGGAGGGACAACAGAAGGAAAGAAAACTCCCTCTCTCGCTCACACACACACACACACACACACACACACACACACACACACACACACACTTCCAAGTTTCAAACAGTTGCAGATGGCATTAATTCCTTGACCTCTTTCTTTCACAATTCATCAGGTAACTGAGTCCCAGCGAGCGGGCCTCCTTTTTTCGTGCTGTACTCAGATGACTTAATGCTGCTTCGGTTTGTTGGAAGGCGAAGTACAAAAAAAGAAAGAAAAAAAGAAGTCAAACAGCACTAATTAATGTGCTGCGGCTGAAAAAGTGTTGCTGCTGAAAAGATTTCATTACATCACCAACTTAAATTACCAAGGCGGGAGACACTGGAGGCTGCAGCCATCCAAAAATCTGTTTACACGCGTTCTTGGACCAACATGCAGGGCGTGGACACAATAACATGAACACCTGCAATCCAATGCAATACTCCTGCAATAAATACTGACTGGAGTCAGTAAAGAATATTTCTCTTTTTCGTTGAGAACCTGCAAAACCTTTTCAGAAAAGAGGGCTTTTATTTGTTAACTGATTTTCTGTGGATAGTGACAGCGAGGCCTATAAACACTCGTTACCCCACCTGCATCATGATAACGGGATAGCAGCACAGTCAGCGAGATAGCAACAACAACAACAACAAACAAAAAAAAGCTTCACAACTCCAAGAGAGCAGTGATTTGCTCCGTAATCACGCTCCCTTTAAACTTCAGCACGTCACCAACAAGGATAAACCCTCCGTTATCCCAGTTCAGCTGTCCTGTGGCAGGTTTGCATGATTACAACAGAGCAGAGCTCTGCCCCGGCCCGCTGGCCTCCCATCCAGATGGGAGGAATTTTTATGGGGAGGGGTCCGCCAATCTTGAGGCTGCTTGACTCTGTCTGTGCTGAGTCAAGCAGCTTAAACCACGCTCTCCTGCGGGAGGACTGAGGCAACGTGGTGCCGCTGGCCTCTGTCGGGGGTTCAGATGGGTTTCTTTTCCCAGACGTGGAACTATGTGTGTGGACTAATTTGTGGTGGTGGTAGGAAGGGTGGGGGGGGGGGGGGCAGTCAAGGTTGCAGTGCATGCAAATAATGTAAAGTGGGAACGTCGAGACTAGTCAAACATGAGCATTGTCTGATTATTAAATATTCACAGAGCATTAAAACAAAACAACTACATATACACACACACACACACACACACTTCTCAGCTCACCAGAGAGCCCACCCCTCCCCCCTCTGTGGGGTCCCAATGACCCCCCGCTGGGGAGTCACTGATCTCTAATGATCGGTAAGGGGGGGGATATCCACATCCACGAATTCAGCACGATCAGGCGGCAAACGACGCATCGCGCGCCCAGCGGACAGCGGAGCCGCGGAAGGACGTGGCCGCTAATTGCATTACAACAGGTAGCCGATAACATCCTGGCGAGGGAGTCAACAAGCGCCACTCACGCCGCTGACTGGTGGCCGGGTGACATGCCCTCACGGGCGTGTAGCGTGAACCGAGAAATCAGCTGATCACACATCCACACGCGCAAGCTCGCGCGGTATTTACTCGCACATTCCTATCTAGTGTCTTCGGAAAGGAAAACAACAAGAAAAAAGCCCGTGCATGCGCAGCTATCTTGCAACAATGGTGCAGACACATTGACCCATTTTTGCTCCGGATAAACTCGTTTAACACCAGGCAGAAAAGAAGCGAAGAGCAGGCGCGCGTACACACACACACACACGCGCGCGCACGCACGCACGAGCCCGGACCCGACGCCGAGGGAGACGCGCTCCGGTAACCGCTCGCGCCGACACAATCCGCCCCTTTGACACGGGTTCATCCGCGGCCACCGAGGGTGGGTTTTCCTCGGAGGTCACGCCGTGGTTGAGCAGGTAGTATCTGTCCAGAGGGGGGCGGGAGGGGGGGGGGCAGAGGTCCCTATCTTGAAGCGAGCCACACCGCACATTCAAAACACAGAAATAAATCAAGAACCGGGCGAGAAACTTACTCTGAGCTTGGACCACAGCGACAAATCCGCGTATCGTTTCTCTCCCCCCCCCCCCCGCCGCCCCCCCAAAAAAAACCTCGTGTTTACGGTTCTCCCCTCTCTCTCTCTCCCTTCTCTCTCCCCCTCTCTCTCTCTCTCTCTCTCTGTGTGCCTCCACTTCACAAAAGACGACGCGAGAGCCCCGGAGACGGTGTGACTGACTGACTGACTGAATCAACTACCGTAGAGCAGGCAAGTTGAAGTGTCAGATTACACTGGCTATTCAGTTACCGGGGAGAGAGAGAGAGAGAGAGAGAGAGACAGAGAGAGAGAGAGAGAGAGAGAGAGAGAGACAGAGAGAGAGAGAGAGCGAGAGAGAGAGAGAGCGAGAGAGAGAGAGAGAGAGACGTGCTCGGCCGTCGGTCGGGGAGAAAATGCGACCTAGATTTCCCGCGGAAGGACACCGAGCGTAAAAGGTGTGAGCACACGCGCTCCGCACTGGAGCGGACCGCCGCTCCGGCTATTGTCTGGTCCTGTGTCGGTTCGACGCTTTGTGTGATGAAAGCAGCGAGGTGAGCGATTGGTTCATTTCACAATAGTTCATTTCATTAGTGATTTTGCTTTTAAGGCGGGGGGGGGGTAAAATGTAGTTCAAATGAACCCTTCACTTATAAAACCCATCTGCGGTAAAAATAAAATAAAAATAAAAGCCGTTGTACATCCTTTGCAACAACTATGCTGAGATATAGTATATAAGAGCTTCAACAAAAATGTGTTATTAATATCCCGGCCAATTACCCTTGTTTGTCTTTTAAAAAATTATACAAAAAAATAATACAAGGACAATTGATTCTGGTTCATGTTCTGTCAATCATATAATCAACTACACTGAGCTCTAAATAAAATTAATATTATGATAATAATGTGATAGAGCACGTTTGATATAATAGAATATACTTTTATTTGTACTTTTATATAGTTTTGTTAATAAAACTAATAGTACTGTTAATATTTACACGCAATTCCATTATAATATTTACATAATCATCATTAAATGCATCAATAAAATAAGTATTGTAGCGATACAAGCATTGATCGCAGTTAGAAGTTTTATTGATCTGTAAAAGTCTTCGTTTGGCCCTGACTGGATTTACACTTCACCTCCCACAATACACGTGTGTGTGCTTGTGTGCGTGCGTGCGTGCGTGTGTGCGCCTTAACCTTTGCGACCTGCGCCCCGCTCCAGCAGGTCAGCGGGCGGGGCTCCGTGTTTTGCGGATGGCCGGTCTCCACTGGAAGAATAACAAAGACGTGTTTGAGAGCAGCGGCAGGCTGGGCCGAGCGGTGACGTCAAGGAACAATGTCTCCCCTCCCGACATGCACAGCGCACGCACAGCAGAGCACACAAGCTCGTCGCTCCCTTCCTAGTCAGGCAAGGCTGAACTGCCCAGAGGGAGGGCCGCTCAGCTCACAGTGCATCAGATAAAATCACTCACTACTCATGCTGTGCCCGTACACAGGGTTTTTCTTCAGTTTTTATTTGTTTGTTTCACAGAAGGAAAAAAAAAGAACAGTGGGGGAAAAGATCAGTTACTGCAAATAAACCATCACACAAAGAAAGAAACACGACAAAAGCCAGCGTGCGTGTGCACTTTACCAAACGCCTTATTTCCAGATACATTTAAATACTAGGTGATCAATGAAAGGGGCGGGATTAGGTCTGCTTGAAAAGGTAAATTCACATAACGTCATCAGTCCGGAGGTCAAATTCCTGCCAGCTGCTCCCACGACACGGACTGCTCTGTGTTTTGAAGGAAAGGAAGGGACTGGCGTCCTTTTCAGCTTCCTGGCTGCGGGGCTGGCGACTCCAATGGTTGCAGAGCAGGGTATCAGCAGCGGGCGGACGGGGCTCGTTGTATCACAGAGTCTCAAGGACGACCCGGCCCCCTGGTAGAAGCAGCTGGGGGAGCGAAATCACGGCTCTGGCAGTCACTCATTTTTATTTCGGAAAAAAGGGGCGGCAGTCAATGTCGCAATGCTGTGGCTTTGAACTCGTGATCTGATTTATTTTCTTTTTGCTCTGCGAATGGCCGGTGGAGATGACCCTTATCTTCTTCCTGACACCCCTTCGGATTTTTTTTTTTCTCCTACCAATCTGCGTAAGGCGCAGGTTTCCTTAGCGCTATCATCGGGGATTTTTCTTGTTGTATAATTTGAACATTTCTTGCTTGCCAGTGAGATATACACAGGTCTCTAACTGCTCCCCCACAGCTCGGGATCAACACACTGACGGATCTATTGTGGCCTTCTTCCATTTAGGTTTCCTTCTTATCATAATATCGTCTGTTCTGGATCATCCATCAAGTTTTTGTTTGATACCAATTTAAGGTGACAAGGCCTGTTACTGGAGTCAGGGTGGTGGGGGGGGGAGAAGGGGGCGGGGGGGGGGGGTCGCAGCCGGTCGGGTCACTCTTAAGTTCAAGGAATGGCTTGTTGACAGAAGTCTTCTCTTTGGTGGCAAGGCGTGCGGCCTCCGCCTCTCCAAAATAATGCGGCCAGATGGCTGCCAACAAGATGGATGGATCATACGCGGGGTGACTTCAGCTTGACTTTGCTCCGTGTACAATATCACACGAGCAGTATTTCAAAGGGGCCGAATGAAGGCTTTCGACGGAGAACAAAGAGAACCCTCGACGAAGCACGCTCCGACAAGGTTAATACACGTTGCATTGCGTGTTGGGAGTGCATTAAATCAACATGTGAAAAACTGGTTCGACCTTTTGAACATTAGTGTCGATGGAGGCCAGACGTGGCGTTCAACATTCCCATTCCTCTTGGCCACCTTGCTCGGGGCTTTCTGCCGATGACAAGGCTTTTCCCCTCTGTGGAGGCGGCTCGGCTGAGTGATGGATGCTGCTGGGGCCTCGTGTAGCTACATGATGGAGGGAGACTTTCAGTTGCGCTGACATCAGCTCTCCCCGTTAACACGGAGGTGTGATGGCTGTTTACAGTGCCACCCTGCCGTCGCCGCGGAACACAACTGTGCCGGAACGCAAAAAAAAAAACAAGTCCTATCATCGGGAGAGCAGAGTGGCTGAGTGGCTGGAACAGCTTTCACACCGAAAAACAAGGGCAGAGAGAAGACTTCCGTTGACGTAAATGGGTTTTCTGACCAACGACGGTGACACTGCTCCTGACCCGCTCGCTCGCTGTTGCTTGGGTGTAGTATTACTATGGTAACCACATGATTGCTACATGGTAACTTCTGGGAAACATAATAATAACAACCCTAGTCGAGTCCATTTCCCTTTCGAAGGTTCTTAGCAAAGACCCACGACCGCATTGTGTAAGTCAATTACCTTTTATTGTGTGATCAAACAGTTTGAATCTTTAAAACCAATATTGAGCCAGCATACAAGGTCCTGAATCAAAGTAATGTGTCTTTTAGCTCCGGTTGGAAACATTCAGCCCAGACTGAGGCTGCATATTACTTTATCAAGTCCTTCCTCTATTTATTTTTTAATTTCTTTGTCAAGAAAAGCGATAGGAATTTGTATCCTGACCCTTTTGCCTGGAAACGGAGGGGGGGTCGGAGGGGCAAATGTTCAGGACAAGCATAGAAGATGCGCGGGGCGGTAAATGTATCGTCTCCTGCAGGGAAAAGGCATAAGAGCACGATGTTAAGGGAAGAGGAGAGAGGTCTGGTTGAGTACACCATTGATCGTCTCTGGCTGCGAGAGGAACAAGAAGCTGAGAGGGACAGAAAACAGATGATACAACCGCTGCCTTCTGGAAGCTTGGACGTCCTTTTATAAAGTCTCTCTCTCTCTGTCTCTCCGCTCCTCCTCTGTTTCTTTTTTTTTCTTTCACAGCGAATGTCGACTGAGCAGTGGCAGATAAGGCAGACAGCCGGGGCCCCACGCTGACTGGCCCGACTGGCTGTGGGGAGCACAGAGGCAATCAATGAGTCTCCACAATAGAGCGCCAGCATCCTGATAGCTAACAGCTCCCCGAGGCCACGGGAAGGAGGTGGTGAAGAGGTGACACAAAAGAGGTGGAAAGAAAAGAGGGAAAAGGCGGAGGAAGGTGGTCAAAGAGGTTGCGCGCTCTAACACGTGTGCGTCATATAGGTTGTTTCCCTCTCACCACATAGAAAATAAAGAACACGCATGAAGCATCAGAGCACGTATTCCTTTGTGGGTGTTTATGCTCGACGAAGCCCGTGTGACTTCAGGAACTCTCGGCCGCCCTCGGAAGCACAGCAAATTTCCACACGAGATGTGAAGTGAAGAGTGGTGGTCCGATGCTCGGGGTGTCGGCTGCAGTGATAGTGCTATTTTTAGTTGGCTTCGTCTTCCCCTCATTGTTGCATGTCGGCATGCATACATGCGTTTGTCCGAGACAATCCCCCCCCCCCCTTTTTTATTTTTTTACATCATTATGCAACGCAGTATCTGACCTTGGGAAGAACATGTGCCAGAGGGGCAGGGAGGGAGCTGAGTAAATGTGTGACCGCTTCAACCTCTGTGTCATCCTCGACTGCACAACTTGCTACCTCAGTAGTCACAGAGCAGCTCTCACGAGTACTCAGAACATCATTAATTCCGCTTATTCACATCCAAAGGTCGCACGCTCGTTTTGTTCCATTGATGGCCCGGTGACGTTCTCTGGTATCATCCTAAATAAAATCTGATTTCATCACTCATTGTACCAAAAGGCTTTCCATAATTAAAGACGTGTACAATTCCCATTCAAAAGACCACGCCATTAAAAACAGCCTCGAGGCCGTCGTTGCATCGCAACAAGGATCTTGTGACGGGAGTTAAACAGGAAAACAGACGGGCAGACACGCCACCTAAGCTACAGCCTATTTCTCAGGATGACATTAATACAATAGCGCCGGTGCCCAAAACAACTTTGTATTGATTCACATAACCTTTTAAGCCAATCGATTGCTGCACTCCGAATGCTTAGGCATGTTTTCAAGCAGGGTTTTGTTGCAGTGTTGCATGTTAAATATTGTGTTTTGTAGTGTTTCAATGCGGGAGTAGTTCATTTTCATTTCATTTATTTTCACAATTCATTAATCGACTCTACGTGTGCTCTTCTCATCTTCCAAGAGTTTTTTTTCTGACCGACGTCATCTTTGTAGCTCAAGTTTAAACAACCTTTTATAAAAATAGAAACGCTCTGTTACGCCGTATGTTGTAGTTTCAGTTCATCGTTGTCGTGCTGACTCATGCTCCGCTGGTCTTCAATGGACCTCTTGCCAGTCAGGATGACTCTTCCCTTAGACGTCGACTC